TTCGCGAGGGGCCATTTGCATCTTTCGGGGGAGGGGGGAACAAGATATATATTAAATGTTGATTTGTTTAGGTTGGGTTCATGCAGCTCATTTCTATATCTGAACCAGTTTGCACAAGAGATGAACTCTCATGCCATTATACTGGGAATTATTTAAAGTCACTTCTGGCAGATTACGCATTAAGCTGTTGTGAACACACTTAAACAACGACCGTTTTGAGCTCCTCTTGCAACGTATTCCTGCTTTCCCTCTAAAGATACCGATGGGAGGTGAGGATTAGGTGTGGTCTCCTACAATACCACCATTGTATTGGGGCTTAGTGACCTTAGATTTGTTTTTATCAGTTTAAACTTAGTTACCCTTTAACTGGTGTTTATAATAGGGTAGTTCCAGGAACATCAGAGCAGCCTACTAACGTCCATTCATGTGGTATATTACTTTTGAAAAACTACGTGTAATATTGTTAAATTATTAAAAATAACTTATCACACACAGAGAGACAAATATCCCCCACATAGCCAATAACAGACTGTTGTGGCAATCGTTGTTTGTGGAAACTAATAAATAAGGCCGGTACAGCGCACAAGTGAGTGGGATGCCAACACCACACCCGGCCACCATTGTGTCTCCAGTGCTGATATTTACACATCACACATATTTTGGGCTTAGTCGACCTATGGGAGGTCCAGGCCCGGTTCAATTATTCACCGCTTGAGCGGGAAAAGAACTTGGGTTTCCGGGCTTGTAGCACGGTACGCTAACCACTGCGCCACCGGTCCCCACAAGCACACATGCACAAGACAAATACAAAGATCCCCAATATATTCTTAACAGACTGTTGGGACAAGTACCGTTCATGAGAACGTGCACACACGTGTACACACAAACCAAAATAAGCGAAGGTTTCATACTTGGCTGCTGGTGAAGAGAATAACTGCTGAAACTAAGCAATGTGAAAAAAAAAACCCAAACACACTCTCACCTTTATACTGACCATTTTGTTCCAACTTTGCAATGCAACTGAAGTGCAGACATTTATCAGTACAGTCGTTTGACAGAGTCCAGGCCAGCCACGTGAGGCAGGGGAGCGGGAAACGTTTTAAACAAAAGCCAATGTGAAGGCAAATGTGCCATATATATAATAACGGCAGCAGTGCACCGTAATCCAAAAATGTGCTCAATTTTAACTTAAGTCAAGCCAGCCACATAGCACAGAGTCAAGGCAGCTGCGCTTTCAAGGTTTGCTGTGAGGATTAACCGAGTGTAGCTTTTCAGCCAGTGTAAAGTATTCAGGTCTATGTAGCATATGGCAATGGCGTGAACACACAAACCAAGGAGGGTGTATGAATAGCACGTGTACGAATGTGTGTCCGTATAGAGTGTTGTAATATTTCATATGTATAGTTTTCATGATTAATACTTTGTTGCAAAAAAAGTGTTTATTTTAGAAACCAGTAACAATACCTATTTATATTTAAACTATAAACTAAAACTAAACTACTTTTATTTTTACAGGTAAGGCCCACTGAGCTATGTAGCTCTTTGTCAGAAGTAACCTGGCCACAAATGACAGCTCAATGAAGTGGTTTATCACGTGGGAATCTATAGTAACCAATTCCTCTAAACGAATGTTTATAACTGTGGAAGGAAAACCCGGAGGACCCAGAGAAAAATCCACACAACCACGGGGAGAACATGCAAACTCCAAATATACAACAGGCGTCAGGCTTGGGATCGATCCCACGGCCTGTATACCACGCGAGGTAGTTAACATCTCGCCACAACGATAATTATTAATGACTGGAGGCTCTTGATTCTATTATAATTGAGATGACAATTGTTAACATTTGTGCTCTGGGCCACCAGAGCCACATTATGAGCTCTATGGCAATGCATGGCGCAATGTAACAAATACATTCTCATTCGAGCTGGGTAATTCCTACAGGAATTGTGTGATTCCTCTGTGGGTGATTTTCATACTAATTTTTTTTTAATTGAAATGGTATCCTAACAGGGGTTCTGCCATGGCAGGTGTGTGCAATAGAATGATATTCTATTGGGACTCGATTGTGAATCTAGCTTGGCTAAGAGTCAACTATGCCTTAAATCATGCTTAACATTGTTGACTTCAGCCAGAAAGAATGGTGATTCAGCCATAATGGTGATTCAGCCATAATGGTGTTTCTGACTGATTATGTGTGTCCTGGGACCATAGGCCTTCCCGTCTTGCCTGAACGACAGATGCCAAGGCCCAGTTAGGAATCGTATTGGAATGGAAGTGCGATTGCAGGCTATGAATCGAGGGAATCTCGCAGCTCTAATGATGATGTACTCCGTTGCAATAAACTGATTTCTAGCAACCTCTGAGATTGCTGACCACAGCAGAGGCATCTTTAGCAACCTCTTCCTTCCATCTTCATGATCCGTTTATGGACGTGGGAAGGATGTGGAGTGCTCTAAACATTTTCTCATAACAATCCATTTAAATTAATTTGTTTAGAGCTCCTCTGTCTATGGGCATAATCTCAAACAATCACCATAATAAATTCCTCATTGTCGAACAGGTGACATAACACATCAGGTAAATGTATGCCCACATATATTTGTGCTGTGCCATTGGATGCAACCAACTAAATATCTCATTGAAAAAAATATATTGAGCAGAGTTATTGAAGATAAAGTTCAAATGCACTATTAGTAGTGGTGTACCGGTCAGGCTTTGCACAACGCAACTTGTAATGGACATATCACCTGCTCTGCAAATCATTACCTGTCCATTGCTGAGAGCAAACACCGTGTTCTATGTCACACGAAGCAGTAATGGCAATGACTCTGGTTTATCAATCAACGTGTAATCGTTGTATTTCTCAAAATGAAACAACAATAGTACTCCGAGTCGATATTTTACGATGACAATTTTCACATATGACTGGTGCCAAGCTGCATTTTTAAGTAAAACCTCTCAACATTGATATTCCGAGTGAGAAAAAGCAGTATTACACGTAGCCGGAAGAACGATTACTGTTACACCCATGTAACCACGACTGTAAATAAACACGCGTGCATTGAAGTGCTCATGGCAAAAGAAATGTCTAAAGATCAGTGTACGGTGACTTTTAGTTCTACCCAGAACACGGCACAATGAATACAAAGACATTCTCCATTTGCGTTATTCGCAGGCGTTGTCAATGTATCTGAAAGGGTGGCTGGGTAAGTGGGTGGCTGGGTAGCTTGGTGTGTGTATATAAGAGTTGCAAAAAAGGGCTCTTGTCGGGTTCTTTTTTTTGTTGGCAAAAAAATAAAAGTCACGAAAGCTACGCAGAAAAAAGTTTCACTATTCCCTCTTTCAACAAATGTTGGCATAGGCAGCCCCATGTCAAAGGTAGGGGATGCCACATTCTAATCATGGGCAGCGTGACTAGTACAGCCCATTACGGACTTATTGCAGGCACAATATAGCTTAGTGCATCAACTGCAGCAGAAATGTGGGCCGAGTCAACAGTGGCAGGGATTTTGTTTCATTCTGTAACCTCACCACCAAGAACTATGTGCATGATGAAATGTCCGGATTATAAGTTAATCACCATCATCATCAGCCATTGCTGGAGGAAAGCTTCCTCACACGATGACCAACCTTCAGTCCTGCGATGCCACAATCCATCTCATTCCTGCACGAGGTGATCTGATTAGAACAATAGCTCCGCGTGAGACTGTCTCATTCGGGCCATGTACAGGAAGATTCATGCCACAGCATTCCTGCTTGTGAGCACAAGGCTTTCTCTTACATCGATATATCCTTGTGTGTAGAGGACCAAGTGACATTACCATCGTACCGAGAGCTTTATGCAGGAAGGGATGCCCATTGTGTCTCCTCTGGGGCACGCTAAACTATAAATATTGATTATATCTCAGATGACAGTGGGGAAATCCTCTTTTCACACTTCTCCATGTGTGTGCGCACTCGTGTGTTGGCGAGCACCTTTGAAGGCGGAAACTGTACACGAGGGGGTGGGTGGTCAGCACCAAGCCCGACCGCCTTTGTCTCTCTTGCGGCGATGTTTTTACACACCTCACCAGGTACTCATTTGAGGCTGAGTCGACCCCGGGGAGGCCCAGAACCGGTTCAGATAATCGTCGCTAGCAGCACTTGCCCACCAACAGGCTATTACAGGGGATCTTTGTCGTATTCTCTCCTGTGTGGGATGTGCGTGTATGTGTACACACACGCACACATCACGCAAGCACCACGTAACGTGGCGGCGCTGTGGCGAGACGCAACGAGTCCCGGTCACTCGGCAACGCGCCAGACAGCCGCACCGAGCGTGCGGTCGGGCGCACGAGGTGACGGCGCGGAGATGCAGTCGTGAGCCTCCAGAAATACACGACGTAACTTTAAAGAATACGGTGGGTTCAGATTGAATACTTTTTTGTGTTCAAATTAAATGTCACTAAACGTGAGTGACACAGGTCGTTCTTATAAAGAGAGATGTAATTATGTTTCCGCGTCCGGACGGGTCCATTGCATGTCCTGGATATAACATTGCTCCGATGCGCAGGATATTTAATGGCTCACACTGCATATTCGAGGTTGGAGGAGGAGACATGCGTGTAACGAGTGGGGTAGGAAGGGGTGCCTTGCCCCCCCCCCTCTTCCCCCTTGGTGGACAAAGCTACGAGAAGGGGCCCCCTTGACAACCACCATAATGTTTTCAACCACAGTGTAAAACAACACTTATTTAAAACGCGGTTTTGTTTTCTCATAAAAATGCTTTAATTCAAAGGTTCCACATTTGAATATAATTAAGAGCAGTTAACTTTTGTCGACCGTGCGAGACAAATCAAATATTGCCCCCCCCCCAGCCCCCCGCGTGACCGATTGCCGGCACCCCCTGAGCTGATGATGTCGCTGCTACGCCGCTTGTGTGGAGAGAATTGCACATTAATTTTACAGCGGGCCTCGGTGTCGGGGTCACGTGGGGTCACGCGGAGGAGCCGCTTACCTGCAGTAGACGAGGCAGGGCGCGTTGTTGATCTCCCGGTCCGAGTGGTAGCGCCTGTAGTCCTCCCACAGGTCCTTGACGGCCGTCACGGCCAGGATGAAGGCCACGGGCAGCACTGCCAGGCCGGGCTGGAAGGCGTTCACCACAGGCACGAAGTTGAGCAGCACGATGAAGACGAAGTAGACATTGGCGAAGCGGTGGAACTGCTCGAATAGGTTCTTTGGCAGGAAGGACCACACGGTGTACTTGGTGGTCTTGATGGCGTTGCTGGCGAACGCGCGGTTGGGGTTCTCCTTGCCGCTGTCGATCGCCTCCTCTAGCAAGATGTTGGAAAGGATTCTGCGGGTCTTGCCCTCGGTCGTTTTCCTCTTCCGCTTGGGCTTGAAGCGGTCTGCCCGACTGGGACGCTGCGCATCCTCCTCGCAGTCCTCACCGTGCGCCCTGCTGCTGCTGCTGGCGCTGGTGGCCGCTTCTTGCTGGCTATCCATGAGTGCTCACTCGCCGAGTCGTGCTGTGTACCCTCGCGGACGAGGCAGTCGCATAGCGTGTCCCCCCACCGTCCCTTAGTTGTTACCGCTCGCCGCTTTGCTACCCTTGCATCACGCGTCCGTCACGAGCTTTGACATCGTCGAGAGCACAGGCTGGGCTTGCGACCGAAGACGGATCTGTAAAATTAAATGCCGAGTGAGAGGCGAGTGTCTTCCAAATTCAATGGACGCGCGCTGCCGTGCTCCTGACACGTGCCATCATGGCCCGAGTGCGGTGGAGGTGATTGCGGAGCCAGCGCTGGCCCGCAGCGCAATAGCGGGCATATAAACTTTGGCGTCACTCTGCCACGTTGCGCGCTCACGCGCGACCCCCCGCCCTCTCGACATCAAGAGCTACGCCCTCTGTGAGCAAGCCCCGCTCGCTCGCTCGCTCACCCCACCCACCCACTCACCCACCCCGCCTCCCTCCCTCCCTCTCTCAGTAACCCCCCCCCCCCCCCCATTCATACCATTGCACCCAGCACTTCATTCACCTCGCCTCTCTCAAAACATCGCAATGTATATATGTTGAACTTTCTTCGCACCGTTTTTACCCAACCGTGTTCATCTGAGGTGCGGGGGAAGGACGACAAACTTAAACACAACAAGCAGTTCTAAATAAAGAAGTTTTCAATCTCGATTGAAAAGTGTACAGCTCCAGTGGATTCCTCATATTGGAAGAGCGTTCCAGACGGCCGCAGAAGCGCGCAGCTGGAAGGGCGCGATGCGGTGTCCATAGCTTCGCTGCACACAATCTCTCTCACCATGAGCAACCGCTGGTCACGCATTCGTCAGCTGTGTCCAGGAAAGCCTCACTTTCCAACCCGAAAGGAGCTTGCTGCGTGCGGTCTAATGGTTAGCACTCTGGACTTGCAAATCCAGCTTAAAACAAGCGATTTAGTTCGTGGTGCGTTGGCCAGCGGTGCACTAGCAAACATACCGAAAAGATAGCAACACATTCGTAAGTAACACTGCCTTAAAATAAATACGAATTTACACTTGTTAAGCACCTTTCACCTGGATGTCACCAGGTGCAGAGCTAAAAACAGAATAAAAAATAAAACTAGAAAAACCCAGCGACAACCTAATCAGAGCACACAGGCTCGTGATAGCAACACCCACCAGTAAACATCCAGAGCAATACAAATAATATATATTAAGTACGTGAAAATGCCTATACATATGAAGCCCGAAACGTCGTTTGTTTTATATATATCCCTTTAAGGCAGTGCTATTGACAAATGTGTTTAATTTTGTGTTATTTGCAATCCAGAGGTCCGTCGCTGGTTCGATTCCATCTCTCGGAGCAGCAGTCGAAACAACAAAGAAAGTGTCTTACACCCCGCCTAACCTTCCACTGGGCAGTATAAATGGGTACAGCCACCAACGATCGGCGGATCGCCGTATGTGGTGCGGTAAAGAACGGGCACTCCAAGACGTATGGTCAGTGTAGAAGAGTAGCCCAAATACCCTCTGAAAAGCTTTCTGGAGCTGCGTGGACTCCCCTTCCGACATACATTGTGGAGATGTTAGGACGGTAGTACGTGTGTAATGATGTAACTTCCAGGTGTGTCTATTATTTTGTGTTTTTTTTATCCGTTCGACCGGCACAAAATGGTCACATATTCCGAATTATGTTCACGATTGTTTGTCTATCGTGCCCATTAGTGTTAGCAGGCACAGCAACTCATCGTACAACCCCTTTAAACATTAAACCGTGCATTCAGCCCCTCTGCGGATGCTGTACCAGAGGTCTGTACCAGAGGTCACCAGCTTGTATAGTCTATTCTGGACAACTACACTGATAACGCGCGCACGTCGCCCTGTGCGTTAGACTTTAGAGCGCAGCCATTCCCACCAGCCATGGAATAGCTATACGACAGGAGGTTATCGATGAAAAAAACAATAGGAATACATTTGTCACATCCTAATCACCCTCGAGACGCAACATGTTCGGCGGTCCCACTACGTCTGTACCCGATTGATCACGGGACGTACATGATGACTCAGTGCCCAATCCACAAAGATGACGGAGGCATCATCACGGCGATACACTCCGCCGCAATTATCTGGCTGAACCACCTCAATGCTATGCATCAACATCAGCTCTTGGGAGCTTCCATTGATGGGGGAACTTTGCTCCGCCCGTCGGTTAATCGGCCACGCGCACCGGTTAATTGGATCCGCGCATCACCCCCTCCACGCGTCTCGCATTGTGCTCACATAGCCCGTTTTCCATTCGCGGGGAATGTAAACAACGGTAAATCCAGGTTGATAATTCACGTGTACAAGTTGCACGATCGGTCCACAGAGTATTCTGGGTCGTGGGCGTTCGGGTGGTTTATGCCGTATGTTCGTGTATGTGTGCACAGCTGCGCATCCTAGAATGGGACTCTCTCTCTCTGGTCCTGTGGATATCTCCCAGCCTGACTCCTGCTGCGGTGAAAAGCGTGGATTTGCGTATTCTGCCCTGCCCAATGTAATATGGAAGATATCTATTGAGGACCGAGCCTTGGTCCTAAAAACGTAAAATCAGCAATCAAAATAAATCCCCAGAGAGAGCCCGATGATGAGCTACTGTAAGAGCAGACATTGGGTACCGAGCAGAACGAAAAACGCACCAGCGAGGTGCAGTGACATCAACATCGTGAGCTGTGACATGTTGACCGTGCTTTCCAAATTAGATGTTTACAGCTGGCTTATAAGGAATCCCTGTCTACTCTCTGGTACTTCTATGTAATTGCAGTAATTCGATGGGCTGTCTTAGGCCAATTAACAATGGTTGTCACTGCCATATTGTCTTTATTTTAAACAAGTGGTGTTTTTGGAACCACACACAAACACTAGTTTGTGAGCAGCTTATGCCTTTATAACCAAAGAGTGTTTGACAAGGTTCCCATGACACGTTATCATTGCTGTTGACATGACGGCTTTATGACCTGGTCACAGATCAGTAAACCTTGAACATGAAGTGAAGTTTGATAGATCACTGGCTTTAAAAAAAAAATCACAGTTGCTGACCACAGGCCCGCATCGTGAAGCAGCTAGCAACAAGTAAAGATCACAGGGTAACGGACACATTCAACTTGTCTTGCTACAGTATTAAATTCAGCACGTTATAAATTGCAATGGGAACAGCTTGCCACAGTTACAACAGAGTTCAATCAACATTGCTCCCTTATCCTAGTCAGTGCCTGTGCAAATTTTCCACACAGGAAATAGTTGCTTGCAAAAACGTCTTATCCTCCCCAGGTCATGCATGTGTGCAAACTACACATTAAGTCCTCAAATCTGCAGGCCATTCTACAGCTCGTTATGGTAAAGACAAAAACCTGGTCTCGACCAGATGGCATTAATTATGCCACATTTTACCATGGGGCAACTATGATTGTGCCGAAATAAGTCCGTGATATACAGTTGTGTATTTCAAATGGGTCTCGCTAGACTCTACCTACTGGCTGCGTTTTACATGGCACTATAGTGTACAATGTTTTTTTCATACATTTTATGGGAAACGGCCAGACTTTACAAAGAACTATATTTATTCCAGATGTTGCATGAGTCACACACGAAACAAGGATTAATTGTATTCGCTCCCTCTGTTTAAAATAACTGCTCGATGCAAAAGTGACTTGGTTTGTGAATAATTTGAAACAATTATCTGTTGTTTAAGTCATATCCAAACCAACTAGCATTCTGTGCAAGGATGGACATCTTAGTAAAGTAAACGCATCGGACACGCCACTGGAAAAAAAACAAGCACAAATTAAAAAAATAACCACATCCATCTCACCAACCATCACCATTAATACTGCATTGCGATAGAAAATACGGTGCAGAGAAGACCAATATTTCGGTGAGTGCACTTTTTGAGTCTGCAAGAGCCCATGGTCCCGTATGTTGGGTTACCTGTACATGTTCTAAAACACTATTAATCACGTGCCAGCCTTATTAATAAGAATTCGCAAACAACGCTTTCCCTCACAACCGTAAGACTTAGCAGGCTGTTTTTATCGCCGTGTTCACGCATACACATACCTGTAAGCACAATGGAAAGTAGAATTGCAATAATAAACTCACAGTGCGTATTCTCAGTATGTATCTGGCATGAGTACATAAGTACGCAACATCTATTGTGTTAGGCTACAGGATACACTGGATAAACAATATGTTCTTTGTTTAACAAAGAGAAACCTCAAAGTTATTCATATTCGACAAAAGAACTGGCGACTACTTTCGGTCAGCTCTCTGAACTTTATGATGATCATGATGATCAGGGATGGCCCAAGACTAGCTGCCAGCAACGGGCACCCGAGGCGAACCATGCAATCGGCGCCCCCACCCCCAAACCCCAAGGGCAGATCTAGGCTGAGGTTTTTGGTAAATTGGGAAACATTTTGGCCATATTTTCCGTTTAATGCTTTTTAAACATGTTTTTTAAACAGAGGCATAATTATTCGGTTTGTCCGTCCGTCTGTCCAACCAATGCATTCTCAAAAACGTTGAGAAATAAATTATAATTCATATTCTCTCTGTACGCGCACGGGAATTGAAATAATGAAATCTTCATATTCTTAGTTTTTTCGGTAAAGTCACGTTGAAGAGAAACAACAAAATAACAAAATATATATAAAACAATAAAAAATTCTCACGACGTTTCGACCATAACTCAAACGGTCATCATCAGGTGTGTCGGTTTGCACCTGATGATGACCGTTTGAGTTATGGTCGAAACGTCGTGAGAATTTTTTATTGTTTTATATATATTTTGTTATTTTGTTGTTTCTCTTCAACGTGACTTTACCGAAAAAACTAAGAATATGAATTACTGCAGTCACGAAAGCTTTAAATCAAAATGAAATCTTCGTTATTTTATTTGTATTTTTAATTTGTATTTTTTTTTACTCAAATTTGGCGCCCCACTTAACTTGGCGACCTAATCGACCGCTTATAGTTCGACAATATGGATGGCCCGCCCCTGATGATCATTTGCCCGAGTGAATGTCATCATGAGATCTTTAACATCTACCGTGCAGCAGATGGCACGTCTCAAGCGAACTGGTCGGGTGGCGAGCTCGCTCCTGCAGTCCCCTATTCAGACGAGTTTATAAACAACCTATAAACAAGGTGTCACGGGGCTTCCTTTATTTACTTTTGTGTGTTCATCACACGTGCACGAAAAATATTTCACTTTGATTTGGTTCCCATATGTGTACAACACCTAAACAATTATTCTACTTGAGGGCTATGCTCAATGTATTAAGCCCCTCCTCTCGCCTTGCCCCTCTCCCCCTACTGTGTAGATATACGCGGACGAAGCTCCCATGTACGGAACGGGTGAGCAACTGAAGAGAAATGAGACCTTA